CTACTCAGTTGATTTTGCCATGAAGGCAGGAACTTGCATTCAAGTACAGTTGGTACAAGGATTTAATCATTACTGCTTCCGTTTTGGTTTTAAATCAAATACAGCGGGTGTTTCTGACTCAGAGAATTGTGATATTTTCATCAACGTTATTCCGTCGGTGCATTTCGATGAGCTTTAGAGCTCACCAGGCAGTCACGAATACAGGAGACCTGTGTTGGTTCCTGCTTGTCTCTCTCCTCCTCCTGTACAGGACCAAAATTGCGGCATTTTGCCTCGGTGGCTGTGCCATCCACATCAGACTAAGAGGGAATGTGGTGTGAGACCGAGTCCCACGCTCCTGCCTGGACTGTACACCAACATCAGTTCCATGGCAGCTGGTACAGATGAGGTCGCTTCCTATTGCCCCAAGAAATAAATTAAATTTTTTTTTTAAAAAAAAGCAATTCTGCAAATTCTGTGGGGTGCTCTGCTCAAACCCCTTCCAAGAGGAAAGCAGGAGACATGGTATTGATTTTTCAGCATGCAGGTGGCTCAGGCATGTTCTCTGCACCGTTAGAATGTGAGCAGATGCTTCACAACTGTAATAGAAAATCAAGGATGCTTCTTTACATCACTGACTTTCCCCAGTGTTTTGGCAAAGATCATGGGCCCAAGCAGATGTGGAAGAGAGTGAGTGGAATATGAAGCAAATCAGCATCATGAATATTTACGATATGGTCCACTGTGTGGCAGAAGTACTATTACTGAGGCTTCTGCTTAGCGGGTTTTTATATCCACCCGTGACTTTTTTGCCAGTGTGGTACCCAGTTTCACGTGGTTAGTACGTATGGGTTGAATTAAACCATGCAGCACGGGTAGCTTTCATGAGAGTGGTTCGGTCACTACTTTCCCCAATACCCAGTGTGTTCCCCTCTCTCTTTGGGCTGTACTCTTTTTTTTACTCTCCGCGGGGGCTTAGCTGCCCGTGGCTTCCCTAAGTCCCGTACTTTTGTGTCCCAGCGAGTGATTCTTCAGTGATGCTGCAGCACGTCAGATTGTATTCCAAAAGTTAAATGACTGAAGCGGTCTGGGTGGACGGGGCTGTGCAGGTACCAGCTTTGACAGCCATCCCTGTCAGGGTCGGTGGTGAATTTGCTTCCAGACCTTCTAGAGATCCTTGGGGTTACAAAGCATCATAGGTTGAAGGCGGCAGAGGTAAAAACTCCTCTACCCAGCAAGCTCAGAGGAACTGTGGGAGTGCCTGGCCCTTCTCTCCCCTCCTTACTGGAAACCGGGCTGGAGGCAGCAGAGAGTAAGTGGACACTTACGCAGTTTTCAGCTTCCCACATGGATTTCGTTACTCTGTCGTATGTCATGAATAAGCTGATTTACGCAAGACGTTCTACTTGCCAGAGGGTTGGTTATTTGTGCTACTTTGGTGTAGTAATGCTGCACTGTTGCATTATTTGGAAATAATTCTATTGTGTTAAGTATTTTGTACGCACATACCTTATGAGGAGAAGAAAACCCCCACATAATCTTGATTTTTGCATCATTTATTCCTTCACTTCCTTGAAAATTATGTCTTGTTATAAAATCACTTCCACTAACTAGTGTTGCATCACCAGTACCCGACCACGAATATGCGTTCCTGGGAAGGAGAGGGTGACAGAAACAAACACCTACTCTAATGTGTCATTAGAAATCAAACAGACCTAAAACTTGCTTCTGCTTGCCAATGCTCAGATCTTCTAAAAGTCTGTCTCCGGCAGCGAGACCAAGGATGCATCCAGATTACAGAAACTGTGCTTGCATGCAGGCAAAATATCACTGAACAATTTAAGATTGTAGGTTTGTATTGTGCCCACAAAGCTGTTTGCTTATGTATTGGGTTAAAATCTTAATTTTCCACCTCTCTTTCCTCAGACAAAGTGAGTACTTAGATCAGTTTGACAGAGTTCTCCGTTCATTTCCACTGCCTGTATCCTTCGTGCGTTACATCCGTTTCTGTATAAACCTGCTCTTTGTTTTGTTTTGAGGTGCTTCTTAAGGCTCTATGGGGGAACAAGTGGCAATCTATAATATCTTCAAAAGTGGGAGGGATGAAATAGCAGTAATCTGATACGGACACATAAAGGTCACCGACAGGCCCCGCTGAAACCCCCCCGAGGAGGATGGGAGTAGCAGCCTTCGGAAAGGCACGCTGCCTACGGACGGTGCCTGCGTTTGTCTCTCAATACTGAGAGGCTTTTTCTTTTTGACGTGTCTATTTTTGGCAAGCTGAAGTAGTTGCTCTGCTTTGTCAAATGGCAGTGGAAGCTATACGTAGGTGTTAAGCATGTTACGCTTAGCGTCGTGTTAGCAAAGTGACCTTTTAAGTTCCCGTTTATAGTCAACACCAATCTTTCTGGTTATGGACAGCACTCGACTTTGACATCCTGAGCATCGTTTACAGTTTGATACTCTCTTGGTCATTCCATCATTTTCTTTGGACACTGTACCAGGGTATCATGTCCTACATAGTTTGTCTTGTCTTGTGCAAGTTCCCTGGAAAGAAAAGAGATTTGCACTTGGATTTAAAAAATAAATACAAATCTCGGTAGGGCTCTTTCCGTTGACTTGGCCGTGGCCTTTAGGCTCTCGCAGAGAAACTTTAAAAAACCCTGCTGGGGGTTTAAGCCATGTGACTCCTGTTGATATTATAATGAGATTTACAGTGCTTAAAACCCACAGGGGACTGACTCCTTACTTGGCGTCACATGGAGTTTCTGCATTTGTCCTGGTATATGGGTAATGCGCGCTGTGTAAATTAAAACACTGAAATTTTTTTGGGTTCTGCCAAACACACTGAAATCGTAACTCTCATGTGTAGTCTTCATGGGCCTCAACGCAGTGTTAACATGAGAGCCTGTTTTCTCACCCTTTGCTGTATTCAGGTATGGAAGCAGATGATAAAACCCATTATTTTCTGAATGATTCTTCTCTGATATGTATGGAGGTGTTTGACCATATGCCTGTCTGGCTTGGGTGGACAGTGTTCCTTCAGCCATCCTCCCTCTTTCTCGGCTGAGGACACGTGGGGTGCAGCATTTTTCTAATTTCCTTGCAGAGAATGCATCGGTCCCTTTGTTCTTTTAAAAACTTAACTGACGGAGCTTCTCCACACTTGCACATTTTAAAAAATCCGAGTAAGTTAAACAAGTGTAATATTCCTTTTTAGAGAAGGCCTTTGTAAGTCTCTTCATCTACAGTTGTTCTTTTTAAATAAATTACTTTGCACACTGTATGTGTGTATATATATATTTTTTTTTTTAATGCTTGAAGAACTATTTGTAAATAGCCAAAATAAGATTTGAATGAAATAATGAATTAGGTTTGTGTACAACTCGTAATACCTTTTCCAGTCAGATCTGTACCTTTGTTGAATTTTTTAGAAAAATTTAAAAATGATTAAAAAAACCACCTTCAATTATCTTCAGATTGTCATTGGGCCAAAAGTCAAAAGTGTCAGAATCTGGGCAAGAATTTCTCTTTCCACTTCTTTGCATTTGGGACAACATCTCAGGGGTATGTTCTATGGTGATCTTGCTATCCAGTGCATCAGAAATAATACAAGAACACAATTTTGTTACAGTATGCGGGCAGATAATATTACAGAACAAGAATAAACAGAATTTCCACATGTGTGTAAAAGTAAAATGGCAAAAAGTAGGCGTTTATCTGTAACGTTACCTGTAATCCAGGATAAAATAAGTCATAAAAGCCACACCTAGATGCTGGTATGTGTTCATATCCTTTGTGTATGTTTGAAGTTCATAATACAGCACAGGCATACTGTAGCAAAGAGATTTGCTATGAAAAATAGCTATGTGTGTGAGCACGAAATAGAGATTTCAATATTATTTTGACATTTTATTTTTAAAGTCATCTAAGGTTATGGAAATTGTTGCAAAAATAATTCCTTTACTGAAGAAGTTTCCATGCAGAAGTTGAATAAAGAAGATATTTTAGAATATGGTTCATCAGTTAGTGCAACAGATACATTTCCCTGAGCACCACATGGCCCGGATCAAAGCGTCTCATGACTTGGATCCGTGCAGCCAAATCATTACGTATTGATTGGAATCCCGCTGAAGGATTAACCCCTTAGTGCTCATATGAATTTTTTTCTTTAACCCTGTTTTTTCAGTAGTTAGAAAGCTCTGTGACGTTCCTGCCCAATCTTAGCAAGGTTAATAGCCCCCACTAACCCCTCAGACCGAGGAATCATTTGATTACATGGTTCCTTTTTTTATGATGAATTTTGCATTTGAAAATACATCTTCCTTACTGGCACATAAGGGGGCTGTACTTGTGCAAAGAAACAGCCTATAAGAAGAAAAAGAAAACCACCCCAAAAATGGAAAAAAACCCCAAACAAACAAACAAACAACCCCCACACACACACACACAAAAACAAACAAACAAACAAACAAAAAAACCCAAACACACAACAACAAAAACAACAAACAAAAAAACAACCCAGTAAACAGATAACATGGTGAGAAAGCCAAGGCTGCAGACTTGATGCTTTTCCTCTTTCTATGGCGATGAGGAAAGCCTCGGGTCCGGTTGTATTGTGTTACAAGAATACACTGCTGAACAGAGATGACTTTTCTTCCTGATGAAGTTGAATTGTAAATATGCAATGTTCATAAATTTCTTAGCAAAATATCAAGCAGGATATTAAGCAGGTCTGTCAAATGATTTCTCCCCCGTCCATGTTAATTTAAATTCTTTACAAAGCTTTTAATTAATGAATGAAATGTAGGAGGATAACTAAGTAAGAATGACACGTTTCGCACTGCAAATGGTATTTAAATCTGTTTTGAAAAACCATGGGCAGAGTCAGGTGGGTACCATGAGATGTTAGGGATGTTTCAGGATCTGTTGTTTGGTGCTGTTAAGAGTCTTTGTGAAGATTAATTGGCGCGATACCCTCGGTTACGCCACTTTTTCTCTTTTCTCTTTCTCCCCTCCAGTTTATCCCACGAGGAGCACTCGCACAGCCATCCACTCTATGGACACGGTGTATGCAAATGGCCAGGCTGTGAAGCAGTATGTGAAGACTTCCAGTCGTTCCTAAAGTAAGGATGGTTTTTTTGGCATTTGCATTGTACAGAAAGCATGCCCTGAAATGAAATTTTGTGTGCTGTCACTCACCGTGGGCCTGATGCAAAGCCCACTGAAGTCAACAGAGAGCTCCCTTTCACTTCAGTGGCTTTTGGATCAGGCTCAAGAACGTTTTAACAGGGGATAGTAAATTAGCCCCATGGGGAAAGTATGGTCTTGCTCAGTGTGTTACTATGAAATAGAAAGTTTGCAGTTCCGCAGCCTTCTTTTTTATTTATTTAAATAATTTTTATGTTGCAGTATTGATAATGTAAACAATACAGCCTTGGTTTAACCTTGATTTCACTTTAATTTAGAAGTTTAGTCTTACATTAACTCCATAATTAAACAGAGAATTGCAGAACATCACGTGAAATTTAATTTATGTCAAATAAGTAACTAATGAACAAAGTCTACACCACTAAAAATAAACTATAATTACATTAATTGGGCCCCTGCAGTTTGCTGCAGACCTTTCCTTGCTGCCAAAGAACACAGTTTTACGCGTTGCATAAACAGTGCATTATGGACTAGTGTGTGGTAATGCGTGCATCCCGATGCAGGGAAGGACCAGCAGAGCTCTAATAACTTACACGTGGCTGCTCCACAGCTGAACCATCAGCCTCACCCCTCCACGCTGGAGCAAAAAGTGTTCCCATCACAAAAGAGTTTTGCGTCTGGGTAGATCACCAGGTACACACATGCTTTGGGTGCATCCAGGTTCTTGAAGGTCTGGGCACTGGTCTTTTCTCAAGTACTGTTGCTCTTTGGTTTTAAGATCACGGAAGACCAACCGCCCAAGCAAGGTTTATGATTTAAATGAACAAAGGGACAAATTCTGCTCCCACTTACAGTGGTGATCTCATAAAGTCAGTCCGCATAAATACATGAGATTCTTCGGGATGGATAAGTAAAATTAGTCCCAAAACATTCAGCTATATCTGTTCTTTTTCGGGCAGTTCCCTGGATTTTTATGTGAGAGAGGGAAGGGCGACAGCTAGCAAGAGGATGTTTGTTGGATGATGTTAGATGATACAGATAGGTTTTTGCTCTCAGAACGGAATGGGCCAGTTCTGCTTCTACTGGCAAAACCTTCCCGAATTCAGTTGCAGCAGCGCTGGTCCTGGTATAAACATATGTTACAAGTAAGGAATGGTGTACAGTAATGAGAAGGTTCTCATTACAAGAGGGTTACAAAATAAGAAGGTGCTAGTCATAAATTTCCATGAAGGGTGGCCTCATTTCTTTTAATTCATCCTGTTGTTCACTTAAGTGAAATAAATGCTAATCTCACCATACTTGCCAGCTCATTCATATTCATATGCCATACTATAGCATTTAGACCTTTAAAACAATTCTAATTTTTATTGCACTTAGTGCAAGGGAAAGGTGCTGTGGTAGCCTTAGATATTGGAACGTGTGTAGTCACATAAGGTCAGATTATGCCACTTCCCCTTCCTCTGCTAGTCCCCCGTTCCAGATTAGATCTGTTGGTTTTAGAAAGATTTCTTACACAGCAGTGAGCTGCTTGATGTGACCATCCGTAGAAAATACAGCCCATAAGTCACTTGGCATGGCTAGAAGCAAGGTTGATTTTTATATTGTATTTTGGAGATGTTTCAATAAGTAGACCGAGGCTACTAGTTCACCTGGAGATGATACTTGGGGAAATCAATAGGTAGGAATAACCTGAAAACCACTGCCAGCCCATGCTGGACCTGAAGCAGCTCCATCTACTCCCAGCTCCAACAGTTCTGGTTCTTTTGTGACTTATCGTCAATCTTTTCTTTCTTTTTTTTTTTTTTTTCCTCATTGAAACATTTCAACAGAAATATTTCGTGTGACTTTCTTAAACCCGTCGGCTCGTGTAAATTTTCTCATTATCCAAATTCTACAGTGTCCAGACAAAGTCTTATTGTTCAGAGCGATACTTAACCCAGAACAAATGCAGAAATGAATGTCCCCAAGCAGCGTATTGACACTGTTAGGAAGTGAGCGTAGCTTCATAAAATGATACCATAGCCTTCCAAGTCTCCTGTGGAGCATCTGTCCTTAAATTATACGGCCGTTTATCAGAATTCATTACTCAATGAAAAGATAACAGGTAGATGCTTGAAGTTTCTTTCTGGTACTTGTATAATCCATGAAGCTCTTTCGACAGTCCCCTCAAGAGAAAAGCTCTTGTTTACCAAGTGAAATACAGCCTGTGTATCAATTGAGCATTGCTTAATTTCACTTACTTCAGTAAAAAGGCCTGTTAGAAAAAGCAAATGTGGAATGAAAGCCCTGTATGCCAATAAAATGATTCCACAGTTAAGGGAGAAAAAAGGACTCGCAGGTCTAAAACATGGTTCATTTCTTTTCCTCCCGAGGAAGAAATATCATAACTGTTGGTAAATCAAAACCAGAGATTTGACACTCTTCTGTGATCGTTCTGTAGTGTTTGTTCCCAAGGTGAGGTACACCACAGGGCCCTTGATTTCAAAGATAAATACTGTACAAATAACGATCCTAGTTGTCTTTCACTCACAGCCAACAGGAGGATGCTTATCAGAACCAGCAGATACATGAGCTATTGTATGCATTTATTTCCCTATTTCTTTTTGAAATAAGTTGCAGTTCTAGCGTTGTGGTTTTTCGGGGATTTTTTTTTTTGTTGGTGTTTTTTGTTTTTTGTTGGTGTTTTTTTTTTTGTTTTTTTTAAATCCGTCAACCATTGGTTATCATGTGATGCGGTATCAGTTAGAGCTAACAGATAGCAGCGGGGGCTGTTGCTAAGCCTAATGAAACAGTAGCACCCTGCATGTTCCAGAATACTCCCCGAGCCTAAAAACAAAAACAAGTCCAGTCTGCCTGCGGTGACCTGGTGGCCGCCTGCCCAGCTGCGGGGAGCAAGGCGAGGGCTGGAGGGTGCACACGTGTCTCGCGTGTTACCCAAGGCCAGTCTCGCAGGCGGCAACGAAAGGAGCAATTAGTAGCACGGAGTGACTTTCCTTCAGAATTGACTATATCCTTGATTTCATTTGCATGTGTTTAAAGACTGTTGCAGAGAAAAATATATAGAAATATAGAAAAAAATATAGAAATATATACCCCGTATACGGCAAGTTTGTTCAGGAACTCCTAACTGGAGGGAGGGCGGTTTATTCAGCAAGGTATCCAGGTATCCAGGGCAAAAAATGAAGGAGAAAACTTGAGTGGGATTTTATTCTCCCTGCCCTCCCCCCCCTCCTTTTTTTTTTTTTTTTTTTTTAATTTGATTGTGATTTAGATGTGCTTAATCACAGCTGTACCGTTTTTAAATCAAACATCTTCTTTAAAAGAGGGACACAGACCTTCTGAGAGATCTTGCAATCCTATATTGCAGTGATGCTAGTAATCTGCTTCGTGTGCATTTAACTTTGATGAAACGAAGGGGAGTTTATGTGAAAGAAACTACTAAGTGCACTCTGTAATGTTTTCACAAGTGTTTTTATCATGGTAACATCTTGTTTACTTTAGTTGCCTGCCTAAAACTACTTGGAACATGTTAAGAAAACATTTCAAGAAAGCTTCTACAAAGAGGCTTTTGTTTAGCAGCAACTGTGAGACTGCTCGGCTCACAAAGGTGTTAACTTTCAACCCCTTAAGCACTTCCACATGAAATTCCAGCAACTATGTTTGTGGTTTTGGAAAAACAAAGTGTATATTAAAGAAACCAGGTATATGCTAATACATGTTGAAGTAGGCCGGAAATCATAAATTGTTTCAAAGGCATTAATTGCTATCATTTGCATGTCAAAATGTTCTGCAGTGAAATCATCTGCAGTTAGCACAACAGAGACTTTTTAATCAAATAGGTAGCAAGGGCAGAGAAAAGGCTAGTCTATAGATGTCTCTTCGGATTTTTAAATTCCTGGCAGGCCCGCTTAAACTCGCCAGCTCCGAGGCGTCGCTGGCGAAGGTGCCGCCGGGGCACCCACCCCGCTCCCGGCGGGACCCGCCTCGGCGCTGGGGGTTGCCCGCCAGCCTTTTCTTTCCCGGAGCCCGGCGCGTCTTTGGAACAGCCCTTCAGATGTCGACGTTTCCCCCTCGCTACAACAAACCTCCCGCTTAACCTCCGGGCCGCGGCGGGGGCGTGGGGGGCCGCGGCGGGGGCGTGGGGGGCCGCGGCGGGAGGCGGCCGGGGTGGCCCGAAGCCCACAGTGCCCTCTAGTGCCGCCGGGGACGGCGCTCGGCGGGAAAGTTTGCCGCCACGGCCCCCCGCGCGGCACCTCAGGCCCGCTCCCCGCCGGAGCCGGCTCCGACCAACCGGCCTCATTTTTTCGTTTTTACCTTAATACATAAACATTTTTCCTCGCGGCTTCCTCCAGAAAACACCTCGAAGCGCCTGCCTGCTACGCGCGGCGCGCGCATCGCGAGGCACATTGTCTTGCGTTATTGCGTTTTATACCTTAAGGTGCTCTTAGTTTATGTTTCACGTTATAATTTCCGGTGTGTAATCAGAAAGCATTACTTAAGAGACAAGGATCATCTTTGTTTCATACTTTTATTGACACTGTCTACCATATTACTGCAATGTCTAAATGGTAAAATTTATTATTAGCAATAGTGTCACAAAAGTCTGAGACAGCGATTTTCCTTTCAATAAAAGTAGTTAAAAACCTTTTAGAAAATCCATAATTTTGATTGCTGGTACTTCATAAATGTATAACTGGTACTTTTTAGCTGTCTCTTTAGGGAAAAATGAGTTTTATCACCTGCAGTACCTGGGTTAATGAAATTGT